CTGGTGGGAAGAGTGTGAACTTCTTCATTATCTCTGCACTGTTAGCTGCAGTGTGTGTAAATGTTCAGAGAAAAAAAGAGAAGACATGGCAAATGTTCAGCTTTTTGTAGCACACCAGTTTTGTCAACTCTTTTTGCAATAACAAGGTCATAAGTTTGAACCATCCAAAGGGCACATGTGATAAGTCACTTGTCCCTACATGTACATGTGAAAGGAAAAATAACTAACAATTTCAGTTTTTATCCCTCAGGATTACTTCACAGTACATATTTTTCCACATTTCTATCACACCATTAATCTTTATCCTGTGCCTTCTGCAGACTTCTTTTTTTCCTCCCACATAGTCTGCCAGGGTCCTGCTCTCCAAAGGGTCACAGGTTGCAGAGGGATCCACAGAAACAGGAAACCAGGCTTCCTCAGTCAGTTTTGAAACACCAAAACCTGTTTCCTTTCTACAGAAATAAAGCCTGTCAGGGCATCCTCTGGCTAGGCTCACTATCTGAGCAGCAGCCCAGAAGGAGAGAGAAGCTACAGGATTTCTTGTTTAGGAAATAAATGTGAGATAACTTGTAGCATTTACAAACCAGCAGAATGAAAGATATCATTTTCTTGCTGCTCCTGTTGCACTTAGAGAGGGGCAGTACTGGATTCAGCACTCTAGGAAAGCTCTGGACCACAGAACAAGGCGATGAAACCCAGACAAGTCACTCAGACTCGACTCCATCTCTGACCACAATTAGGGGGTCACCCCAGTCTGAAATTCAAGCTGCCAAAGCAAGAGCCTCACAGGGACCTCCTTTTGCATCTGCAGGCGAGACACTGGAAGTGACAGCAGTGAAGAAAACTTCCAGTCCTACAACGTCTGCCCCTGCAAGTCAGTCAAATGGACACAGTGATGGTGACTCTGGCAGAGACAAGATGGCAAGCACATCTCGCAGCAAAGGGGCCCTACAAAGCACTGCTGGAGAGATCCCTCTGCTTCAAGGGCTCACTGCAAGCCTGGATACAGCTACAGGGAACAGATCTGTCAAGCAGTCCTCTCGCAGCGCTGGTATCACCAGGAGCCAGCAGGATGCCAACTCCAAAGCATCCGGATTTGAAACTACCAGGGGAAAGTAAGCTAAGTATTTTTTTCTTGTCCTAATGTACTGCTTATTTTCCTGTTTCCAGTGACATAATTGGCAAAAGTCCTAGCAATTTCAGTAAAATTATTTTTTGACCTTAAAAAAGACCATCTAAAACAAGCAAGGGACCAAACTGGCAGCATTTACTGAGGTAAAGCCATTGTAACATTTCTAACAGAGTAAATGCTGCAATGTTTTACTCCTTAGGGTGGTTATTTCAAAATCAACAGGGAAGTCATTATCATATATGGGTAGGAAAGGACTACAATAAATGGCCTCCTGTTTTATGCACAGTAAACTACTGTTGATTTTTTTTTTCTTTCTTTTCTTGTGGATAAAAGAAATTGCAAATGCACTATTTCATTTTGAATCTATTAAAAAATATTGTGTTTGTAAACTTCTCCACTAAATTGAAAATACAAGCAATTAAATGTACAAAATGCATCAATGTCTGAGAATTTGAAACATCCTATTCTGTGATAAAAAACTTATGAAAAGTGATGTTGTAGATGAATGTGCATTCAGAGCTCTATAACTTAATACACAATAGCTGTGCATAATAGAGTATATCAAATTGTACTGTCTAGTTTTATAGTTCTGGAGCTCTCAATTCTTTTCTTTGTTCCCCAATGTCTTCAGTTCTCAATGGGGATATTAACACTGACTTTGCAGATATTGCAAGTTTCCCTTAATTGCTGATATATAATCAGATACTGGTAGAAAATGAAAGATGCAAAGGAATGGTTGTTTTCCATAGTATTTATGGAGAGTGGGCTTTCCGAATATAGATTTCTTCTTTTGATACTACTTTCCCATGTGGTAGCATCCAAAATCATCACTCCTGCATTTTTCTTGCTGTGTGTGGCTGGGAGTTAATGTTCTCTCAAGTGAAAGAAAAGATTACCATTCACCTGAGCATGTTGTGGATGGTATGTAAGGAAAAGAATGCATAAGGACCCAAAGAAAAGGAGTCCTTTGCTTGGAAGACAGAGTCCAGTAAAGGAGTTGTGTTTCCCAGACAGCTTTCCTAGCATACTCCTTAAGTTCTGAAAGGCATCTGTTACACCACCTCACCACAGTTTGGCAGAGTGTCCGAGTTCACCTGAATTAAATGGAGTCTCTTTTCACATGAGTGCTGATAGCTACACTCCACTGAAATAAATCCTAATACATGCTAACCTTGGTCTTTAGCTTTCACAACTTTCTTCAAGAACAGTATTCCAATTAAATTAATCTGCAGCAAACTCTGTGAATCAGAAGATTTCTACCTTTTACTTGAGATATAAATACAAGTAGCAAAAAATTAGTCTCTGGTGAAGATGGTCACGTATTTTATTTATCATAATGATGCATGATTGCAGCTGCAGAGAGGCAAAAGAAGCAAATCTTGTATTTGCCAGTGTCTAATTTCATGAGTGGTCAAGGAGCAGCCTGCTGTGCAACATGCAAATTGGAGTCCACTGATCCAGTTAGCAATAAAACCAGGATGGCATATCACATTTACAGCATTGTGTAGCAGCATGAAACCCCAGCATAAAATTGAATGCTGACGCCCCATTTTCATGCTCAAACTGCTGAGCTACAAAGCCTGTCCCTCTCTAGCAAATATCTACAGTTTTAGGTGTGGCTCAGTCCTTTTCACAATAAGATTCTTTTGCTACAAGGCTTGTCTTCCCACTGTATATGAGTTTTTTTACAATAAGATGTGGTGTTTTGAACTTCCCTTCCACTTTTGCCATGACCTGGACTGTGATTTAAGTCACTTCACTGTTCCACCTTCCTTTCCTTATGGATTAGACCTGGATAAATAATAAACTTGCTTGTGACTCATTTTTCTTTTTCAGCAAGAACATGAGAAAATGCCTAGTCTAGGGTGTTGACTGTTACTAATCACTGTGAAACACCTGAAAAGCTACTGCTGAGAAAATATGCATAAGACAAAAATTTTTATTTTTTTAAGTGCAGGTGTCATTCACTACACCCCAAATAATTTGTCCTATATATTTTCTTAAAAAAACCAAACAAATATAAAACAAATAAAGCAAAAAAGATACTGCAAGAATTCCAATAAGACAGAGTTTTCTTCAAGGTTTTACTCATTTCAAGCCTGAGCAGAGCATGACTCAATAGCAGATTCCACAGCTGTAAAGTGTACTATCTCTGAGGAAATTTGGAAGAACAATTTGCTTTTTGAACTTACTTTGAATTAAAGCACCTCCTTGGTTATAGTCTGCACTCCAACCTGAATTTTTGAGTGACCTTGTAGGAGCTCCATGACTCTGTAATCATTTATGGCAACCCATTGTGCTAACATATGTGCAGAGATGCTGATGTTGGGAGGCTCCATATTTCTAAATGGAACAATAGAGAGAAGTCTGTGAGAGACAAGGAAGGAAAACAAGAAGGAAGACAAGAATGAGCATTTATTTTTAAACATTTAAAAAATACCAATACATACACTTTGTTAGAGAGTCTGCAAGGCTGTCAGATTGTCCAGAAGGTACAATATGTGTCCATTGTAGAAACTTAATTAGCCAAATACCCCTTTCTGAAGGAGGTTGTGTGCCTTAACAGCTTAATTACAAAGATAATTCCCTTTCTGTCACAACCCTAGGTTATGAGAGGACAGTATTATTCACCCATATCTTATCACATGCACTCTAGAACTAGGTTAGGCTTTGAACCTCTCTCTAGCACATCCTGATGTGGTATTACAAGAGCTAAATATTGGGCATATCTTTTTCTCTTAGAAAATGAATCTCTTCCTTATTCTTCACTGGCACAGAAATGTAATTAAATCCTGTTCCTTCACATTGGAACAATTTTATAATTAACCTTAGAATAGGTATGGGAGAACACAATTTGTTGTTGTCTGCTCTTAAAGCATTTCAGAAGAGTGTTTTCTGTGATGAGGTATCCCCCCTTCAGGCAGGGTCTGCACCCAAGCTTTCATGAGGATAAGAAAACTTCATAGGAAGCGCATCTGGAATGGCCTGAGCTGAAGGAAAATTCATTTCTTCACTCCTAGTAATGAATTTGACTTACCCTCTGAAATGTGAAACTTAATGTCTTTACCAATATACATTTTTTTCTTATTTTTTTTATTTCTACCTATCTTCAAAGCTTTATGCAATCCATATCAATGAATAAAGAAATAATGGAAACCTAGAGTGAGAGAATTTCTCTGAAATTAAGTGATGTAAATCTGAGTATCAATTTGGTGTGAAAGAAGAAAATTTATGATGCATTCTTTTCAATTGAGTTCATTTGAGATACGTGTTTTTCAGCCTGTGGAGAGAGACAATTGCAGTATTTCATTGTGTAAAGCAGCTTAAACAACAGTGGTGCAATGGAGTAAGTCTCAGGTGGAGTCCTGAGACCAGCACACTCATCTTTTCATTCTGAACCTGATTTTATTAATTACCATCCAAGGCATCTCCTGAATACATGAGACCTTCATTCAGGTTGTAAATTAAGCACAGTATCCCCACATTGCTGAGTAGCTCTATGTTACTCTTTTCTCTTATTATGTGTATGTTGCACTTTTTCCAGTTCTCTTGAAGCCACTGAGGGTCTTTACAGACTTTCCTTACCATTATCTTGGGTCGTGCTGAGGTGACAGTATTTTATTACTAAGCACTGAAGGGTTTAATAGAGTCAGCACCAGGGACAGATTTGCTTAGCTGTCACATGTCATAGGAGTGCTGAAATATTTCATTCTCATGACCAGATGTGTGCATTTCTCCCTGGAAATTGCTTTTGCCTGTATCAGCTTGGTAGAAATCTAGTGTACTGGCAAATTAAAATGAATGGTTAAGTTCAGCAGACAGTTCAGATACATGAGGCATGTAGAAACCTGATTTAACTGCCTAGTTAATGCAAGGTTCACAGTCTCTTTTCATCATGTCTCTTTTTAATGGAGCAGAGAGAACAATTCTTGAATCGATCTCCTAAGATTTTGCATCACTGTGCATTTACAAAAAATACAGTCACACATGGCTTAGGTTTCTGCCTCGCTGAGTATATTCACTATGACCTGGAAGGAAGAAGCTCTTACCCAGGCCTGAGGTTGCCTTGGTGGCTGTGTCAGGGTGTGTTTGACAGTCTTTGTCCTCAGAATGTTGTACTACAGCTAAGCAAAAGATCTTTGCAATAAGTCATTTTCCTCCAGCAGGACCTTGAATGTATTTCTGGTGCTCAGCTGTAAGCCCACAATCCAATTTTCCTACCCATGCTAAGCTCAGTGTTACTGCCATAGCAGTCCCAAGGCAATGATGGCTAGTAGAGTCAGGACAGACTATTTGCAGCAGGACAGGAAACATAGCACTGGGGAAAAAAATCACTTCTTAGCCAAAGTTGGTTTTGGGATATTCACAAATACTTAGCCTGCTCAGAGTCTCGTTGTTTAGTTTTTCTGTGATCAGAAAAGGCACCACTATACAGATGATTTCTGACTTTTTTTCAGGATGGTAAGGAAGGTTTCTATTTGTCTCATTACACTAACTATTGTATTAATGCTCATACTTATCTTGCTCTTGTTCTTTGTTTCATCTGCCATGGGAACAGCAAGGATTAGGAAGAGACTGTTTTCCATCCCTGGAATGTCCCTTCACCCCTGTGAATGGATTAGAATTACTGTACCACACTGGACACAGTGTTAGGATTTATCTACTAGCCACTGCAAATAGTCAACTCTTTGTGGCATTTCATTTCGGGTACAACAGAAACATCTGCTCAGGTACGCAGAAAAAATAGGCATTCTTACAAATCTGAATATAATTAACATTTTAGAGAATTGATACTAATTCTAGAATAGACTTGGCAAGAAGAGGACTGCAGCAAGGTGTGTCCCCATGTGTTTTCCAAAGGCATTATCTGTGTTGCCAGATAGAGAATGCAAGTGTTGCAAATGTCAATTTTTCTGCCAAATCTGATACAGAGCATCTATTCTGTATCACATTCCCAGTAAGCAACACCATTGGTCATGAGGAAAAGCCTGTGGAAAAAAAATCACCTTGAATTTCATGGACTTTGGCTCAGATCCTTTCTATTCAAGAGCCCCATAAGATCAGACAGTGACAGCATAAAGATATGTATCTATATGATTAAGTGGCAAATCAGATGCAAAGAAACTGGCAAGGCTTTTAATCATTTAATGAAGGGAAACAAGAAAAGAGAAGCTGCCCAAAACAACCCTATAAACAAGGACAAATTCACTCCTGAAACTTTAATGGATCTTACTTTTTATATTTTCATTTTGTCACTTACAAAGGTTTTTTTTTTTTTTATTGTCAGCATTTCTCAAAGTGGAGAAGCCATGACTGCCATACTGCAATTTCCTTTTCTGTAGATCACAAAAGCACTAAAAAAGCAGTGAACACCAATAACACTGAAGGTTACCTGGAAAGCACTGACAGTAGACAAGACCAGAACTACTTTAATGAATTTTTGTACTCTGGGTCAATTAGAAGATGGAAAATAAATTTATATTCCAGAAGTAAAAAGGAATCCAGACCTCTTTAAAGAGCAGTTTGTCTGCATTTTTGGATGTGTTTTGCTGTTTAATTCTCAAAGATTTGAGATTAATGGGTATCTTCTCGAAAGTCTAAATTCTATCTGGAATGGTTTGATTGTGTTAAAGGGCTCTGAACATGAAGTGAAAAATCATGTATCAAAGAGGTGATCTGATTTGCAACAAGAGAACCTTTTAAATGCTTAAACAGATTAGTGAAGTGCTAGATAAATGGAAATTGTGAATTAATTTTTGCAGCACAAGGGAGGACAAACAGTAAATAAAAATTCAGATGAAACAAAGAGGCTGTTCACAGTCCAAGGCTCCAGTACTGTAATACAAAAAAAGGAAATGAATGATGAGAGCAGAATTTGTGTTTTGTAATAGACAGGACAAAATGTCAGGACACTGAGTCCTGAAAAAAAAACATTAAACCAATCTTTGACACCTAATGCTCCAGTCAGTGTCAACAAGTCAGCTGTTTCTCAGGGATAAAAACATATCCTATAATACATTTCACTATCACTTACTATTTTATATTACATGTCACATGCACCTTTTAGTTTCTTCCATTCCAGACAGCTTGTAAAACACATTTTCCAGTTTGATTTGTTTATGGTCAGTCCCCAGTGAGTACTGAATTTTTATTGCAGTTGAGATTCATACATTTCAGAGCAAAGGAAGCTGTGCACTGAACCTAAAGAATTAGCTGGTTTTTGTTCAAGCTTATAATTTCTCTTATGAGAAATTATAAAATAGAACTTATATTTTTGAAATATGACCGACGTTCACTTAAAGATTTAGAATTTACCATATCACAGTGAGAAGTCTCTGTGGTCACCTAGTGGAATTCACAGGAAATTGCCAAAGCCAGTCTCCCATGCAATAGCAAAAAAGAACCTTGAGAGGGTGCTTGCTATCCTTACAATCTGAGTGTTTACACTGTGTCAGTCAACATTATCTCTCCTCGTCCAAACTTGGCAGGTTGCTTAAAGCATATTGAAAAGCCAGCATCTCCCGGCTCTAGATGCTTGTGGCATCTTTGTCCATCGCCTTTGCTCAGATGTAAAGGACAATTTCAAATTAAAAGTGTTGTAGAATCAAGGTGAGTATTTCATTAACTATTCTGTGAAATAGAAATAAGCTGCATACAAGAATGAGGTACAACCACCAAGCTGGGCATGAACTTTGACAACAGCTCCAGCTCTGAGCCCTTTTGTATTCCGTCAGCAACACAGTAATCTCATTTTCATGAGTCAGTGATGTTCAGCTGGGCTGATTGAATAGCATTTCTATTAAAAGACAGGTAATCTAATTTACTCACAGACAAAAATCAGTCATTTTCAGGTACGATATGAAGGGGGCATGACTGATTCTATACCCTTTGTGGCCTGACTAGCACTGGGGTGGCTTTAGGACCACTTACAAGGATCTGTGCTTACAAGCAGGCGGAAGCAATCACGTACAGGCGTTGCCGGCAATTTTTGTGAAGTTTGATTTTTTTCTCGGCAACGGACCCAGGGAACATTTTACAACAGAAATGTGCTGTGGACGGGGGACTGCAGGGACCCTAAAAAAATTGGTGTAAATGTACTTCGCTTCCAAGAGGCATCGGGTGCCCCAGCGCCGTCACCTCGGCGGGCTGCGGCCGCCACCTGCCCGCCATGCCCGGCACTGCCGGCCTGAGCCCGGCTGATCGCGGCTTAGGAGCGGGTTAAACAGTGCAAGGACGGGTTTAAGAGCTCCCGAGTGTCCCCCGAACCAGGAGGCGGGGATCCCAAAAGCCACAGACAGCCTTAAAGGCAGCGTCTGGGTGCCACGGATGGGTCCCTGCCCATTGTGGGAGATTTTTTCCAGCCGCCTGGGCAGGCTCCGGGGCCAATTCCCTGCTCAGGACTTGGAATTGGGAACGGCCCCAAGGCCCAGAGGGCTCTGGCTGCCGAGGGTGCCGAGCAGACGGGGGGGCAGCTTCCATGCTGCTCCTCATACCGTGCCCTGCTGCTCGGTATGGGTGCTTCCTCAGCCCTGAGGGCTGACAGCTTCCATGCTGCTCCTCATACCGTGCCCTGCTGCTCGGTATGGGTGCTTCCTCAGCCCTGAGGGCTCACAGCCTCCATACTGCTCCTCATACCGTGCCCTGCTGCTCGGTATGGGTGCTTCCTCAGCCCTGAGGGCTGATAGCCTCCATGCTGCTCCTCATACCGTGCCCTGCTGCTCGGTATGGGTGCTTCCTCAGCCCTGAGGGCTCACAGCCTCCATGCTGCTCGATGTGGGTGCTTCCTCAGCCCTGAGGGTGGGCTGTCACATTTGGGTACAGCCAAACCACACCGAGAGCAGAGCTGGGCCAGGAATAGTTTGATTTAAGCTGGAAATACCGCAGCAAATACCACATCAAGGGGGCTGCTTCAAAGGCCTGAGGACTCTCCCACTCTTCGCCACCAGTGCATGTTCCTGGCCAAGACATGCAAGAGGAGGATGAAATCTGTCATTTGGGCTTTTTGCCAGCTGGGGACTTGTACTGCTCTTTCTTGTTGTATGTTGTGAGGGTTTTGTTTTGTTTTTAAATACAGCTTTCCTGATTGAAATCAGGCTCAATGCAAAAGAGACGCTAGGCTCCTCCAGCTCTCAACAAAATCTGCATGTTAGAAGCCTGTGTTGATGATCTGGAATAAATTATTCCAGGGAGGGTAAAGAGGATTTTCAGGTTTAAAGTCCTGTTATGCAAATCAGTTGTCTTCTGTTCTGCCTTTGCATTAACACAGCCTGTCATAGTTCTTCCGCCACGCTTCATCTTCTATTTCCAAATCTACATTTTTTCAGACAATTTGATTTCAAAATTATATTTACATTCTTAACGTCTCCTAATGAGCTTATTTCATTGGTAGCGTAAACTTAATTATGAGTCACACCAGGGGCTCTTTTGCTGTGAATATTTCCTCCAATTTAGCCTGATCAAAGATTGCTGGGCCATGTGAGAACCACAGCTTCATACATTGCACTCATGTACATTAAGAATGAGTTAAATATTTTAAATGGAAACAATCTGCTCAAGTCAGTTACATTTTTGGTAGGGACCAGAGGCTGAGTTCATTCAGACTGTCCTTAAAAAATAAGAATAGCCTTAACATTTGGAGTGTCCTGGAACATATTTTCCTTTGGAAGGCATCTCCAAATGGGCCAATCCCAATAGCTGTTCCTCAAAGCTAGACACTAATAATAATAATAATAATAATAATAATAATAATAATAATAATAACAACAGTGTGAATTTTTAAAGGTTTGGGGGGGAGGCAGGGTTGTTTGTTTTTTTAACTGAAAAACATATTCCAGTGCTTTCTTGTCTTTTGCAATTTTTTTAATGCCTGTTTTCATTCTTTTATCTTTTCATTGACCTCATTTGCTCAGGTGTAAAATGACTCTCAGTTACTATGATGTATACCCCAAACATGTGCACTGCAGAACAGGCTGTCAATGACAATATTGCTGAACATCTTCTGTTTCATTCCTTTCTCTGGTGAGCTGTCAGATCTGCATGCAAGGTTAAAGTGCAGCCTAGGGAGTCACAGGCCCAAGTCCCTAACCTCACCCCTGCCTCACTGTAGCCCAGATTTTAAAATCTGACCCCTATATTTGGCTTCTTTATTTGCAGAGGTGGGATGCTTAGTATCTAGCTGCCCAAGGCTTTAGCTCCTCACTTTGTAGAGATCTAATGTGGAACAGGAATTCACATGTGGTACTGCATAACAGCTAGAGAGGGCATTATTGCTTCAGAGGTTTTCTGAGCAGACTTTGTATGCCATCAGTTAATTGCTAAGATTTATTTAGGAATTTAGATATTTACATTCTCTATACTTAGTTTAAATCATAAGCAAATCCCCATGCTTAGTCAGAGCTCCTCCTGAATAAATCAGTGTCAGTCTGGCCCAGAATCACTTTCTGCATTTATTAAGAAATATTTAGTATCCCATTCATATGTTGGGAGGTTTTTTCTTTTCTTTTTTTTTTTTTTTTAATCTCTGTGCTGTACATCAGAGGGAAAAATACAGTTTTTAATCTTGGATATGAATTTGCAGAACCCTCACTAGAGCTGTGAAAGGAAAGATCTTGTGCCTGCACTGAGCAGGATAACAAGCCTTGATGGTCCTAAGCAACCTCACCTGTAGCTTCCACCCACGCCCCTGTGCCAGGACTCCACTTAAGCCCAGCCTTGAGGGTGTGTTATTTTCCTTGTGAGGGTGCTTGTCTCTAGCAGTCTCCTGGACCTGGCTCCTTACCTGGGCCCTGCTGGGCTGCTCCTTGACCTGTTCCTGCTGCCCCACTGCTGCCTGCAGGTTCCTGGTGCCATGGTAGCTCTGCTGCTGGTGAAGTCAGTGCCTGGCTGGTGTGGTTGACCCTTCCCTTAGGAAGAAGCCCCACTCTTGTTCTCCCTGATGCTCACTGTTTTCCTGGCAGTGCTTCCAAGGGCACCAGGTCCCCTGTGCTGCTGCTTTTTAACTCAAATATCATTATTACTTCATTCCTACTGCCAGTCTCTGTGATACAGGAGACTGTGAAGGACCCACATGCCCCACTCAGAGGGGTGGGTAAGTAAACTTCATTATTCCTTTGCAAAACTTGAAAGACTAAAATTTCTTCTTGTTTTTGCCAGTTCTATGTCTCTCAACTATAGCTGCTTCTGACTTTCCCAGAGAAACTGAGCAGAATACCTAATCTTTATGCTCATGCTTGATAACTACGTTTGACTTTTAGTAAATATTTATGGAGTCTTTAATTAATGCACACAGATAAAAGGCAGTAACTAAAGGAGTGAGAGCCTAAAGGAAACATCAAAAAGAGCACAGCCTTTTTATACCTAATTAAGAGGAAATACTATTTTAATGAAAATTCTCAAGCAAGTAGAGAGTGAGTGAGCAAAATCAGATCAAAGGCACTCAGTAAAGGCCCATTTTATATGAGGCGCATTATTCTTCAAGTAAACAATGTGTGTTGTGAAAGGGAGTGCTGCAATATTGGCAGTAGAGATATTGTGAGATTAAATCTGTTAGTTTTAGCATCTTTCTGGCTTATCCTGTTTTTTTCTCAGGAATCATTTTCCAAGTACAGCACTACTGAGCTTAATGTGCGTACACTGGTAGGATCTCAGTAGACAAAAGCAATCACTTAAGGATAGATGCTGATACTGTTTTGTGTTTTGTGCTGTTTTTCATGTTTGAAACACTGTAAATCTGTACTAATGCCACTTAAGTAAATGGAACTAATCTGGTCTTAATTGTATTTTGATTTCCACTCTAAGGAGCCCATAGCAAGGTATGATATCTGGAGTAAATATATGTATTCATGAAACATGAAAAGAACTACTACAACTGGAAGAAAATGTTAGCATTTACAAAATGTTGTGTTAGCAAAACACAACACAGAAAGACGAACTTTAAGTTCTCATATGCAAATATTGTTTGAAAGTTCTTGCAGCTCCACCAGTCCTACAACTGAAATAATGTCTAGTCACTTACTTGCCAAGTCAAAAATTAAATATGTTTCAGCATGGACAAGGGAATAACGTGCTCCTGAGATAGGCTGCAATGAGTTAAAAATGAAAGGAAGAAGTCAGCACTAGGCCAAATGGGCCCTTGTTCTACCAGGAGAAAAACAATAATACTTTCTTCAGGATGCTTTCCAGTCTGTAGCTGGGAGACTTCCTGAGACAAAGATTAAAGTTGCAACTTAATGATTATTAAAAAACTGAACCAATAATACCCTATGGGTATGTTTTTTTTTCATTAAATAGTTGTACTGCTTTTTAAAACCCCTTTTGGCTTCCAAATTCAGCACAGTCTATGACTATGAAAATGCTGCCTGGCCCTTCATTTTTGTCTTCTTTAATTTTAAGCCCGTTTTGTTTTGATGCCCATTTATCATAACAAGACTAACTGAATAATGAATGTCATGACTTTATCCCTCCTGCCCTTCATTTGTCTTTTTTCCACCTCTCTTTAGGGTGTATGACCAAACCTGAATTATATGTTCAAACTGGCTATAAACTCATACACAGCAACAGAGAGTTGATGTACTGAAACAGTGGTGATTATTGTTTGTTCTTGAGTCCTTCCCTAATAATTTCAAGTATTTGATTACTTAGCTTAGTTAAGGCAAACCAATAAATTGGCCTATTGAGAGAGCCATTAGCAAGGACTCCAAGATTATTTTTTCCTCTGATGAAAGCTACTGTATGTAGTGATACTATCTCTATAAGCCTGTATTCGTAACTGATTCTGCATTACAAGACCCTTTTCTGACACCTACTTAATTGGAAACTCAGTATCATGAGACTTGTGCAGTTCTTCAAGTTGAGCTTTTTTTTACTGCACAAAATGATTTTCTAAAATTCTGTATAACCCTGCCATCCCCCTATTTACTTAGTTCCCTCCTAGTTAATTAATATAGTGCCTATTACAGATTAATGTGGGATTGTGTTGATAAACTGCTTCTTGAAAAAGCAAACTAGTCTATCATCTCTCTGATTTAATGCCTTATTTATTTATAACAGGATCTGGTTTCTTACTATGTAATAGATTGCTTCCCCCCCGCCCCTGCCATATCTTTTTGTGAGTGACCTTCCCAAAAGCCTCTGAAAATCAAACATTTATCTACCTGCTTCTGATTCAAGGAATACCAATATGTGTCTGGCATAATTTCCCTGTACAAATCTGTCCTGAGACATTATTCACATTATAATTTTGATTTAATTCTATTGTCTACTGTGGCCAAGTTTCAAAATCTGATTTAACAGTTTGTATTTGCTTGCAACTTCCTTAGAAACCTTTTCAAAAGGAAACAGCTAATCATCTCTTGCGCTCACCAGCTCTGGCCCCCTGTGCTGCAGTGATAGAGAGTTTGATCATTTTGTATGTGACTGCCTTCTCTGGATGGGCATCTAGAGGCACAAGGAAGTGTGAAGCCATGGCATGTGTTTGTTATGTGTGGCTTTGACCTCACAGTGCACTGGAAAACAAAGTCTACCTGTATTGCTGGACCAAGGGAGAAATATTAGAAAGGCTGTCCATAAAGTGAAAGCTGTGGATGATTAAAAACCTCACTGAAAAATCTTTTGAATTCTGGATAAACAGTTCTGTAGTTGGAAAATTAGGTGTATTTTAAGACCTGTTATTACTGTTGTCTAGGAGAGCTTCTTTGTTCTTGGAGGCTCCACAGATGTTTGCAAATTAAAATACAGACTTGTAATATGAATGTATGTAGAGATGGAGAAATGATTATTTGTTTTATTTGCTGAAGCACAAAGACTAAGTAATTGCCCAAGACAACACAGGCAGTTTGAGGGAAACAAACCTAATTTTTGTAATTTACTCCTATTCGTAAATTATGGGTTTAACTTTCACAATTAAGTATCACATATGGTGTGGTGGAAAATTTTATTTGTACTTTTAATCATTTTACCTTCTCTGTTTCAGAAACTGGTGTGCTTATGTCCATACCAGACTCATACCTACAGTTGTGGTGGATAACCTAGAAACCTTCTCATCAGGCAGAGCAAAGCCTTGCACTTGGCAAATTGGATCCTGTGCTCAGAGGTATGGAGAACTGGGAAGAAAGACTATCTGCAGCATTTTAATTACAACCAAATACACCATAAATGTGATTATAACTTGAAAAATTAAAAGGGAAACAAGAAGGAGCATGCCCTCACTCTGGCACCCTCCAGTCAGTTCAAAGTCTTCGAGTCAAAGAGAGGTGCACAAGTACAAAGCTTCAAAGCACATGCAGGGAAGAAAATCCTTTCTGTACAGTTTTCCAAGCTTGTTCTCTGTTGAAGCAAAAAGCTTCCCCTGAGAGGCATAAATATTTTTATTATCTCTCTGCTTAATGCTTATTTCTGGCACAGTTTTGGTCAGGCAGTGAACCTAAACAAGTAATTGGCCTGGAAGGAACTTGTAAACAATATCTCTGTTGAACATTCAGGTTTTCCTTTGTGGTTTGGGTGCCTCTTTGTATTCTCTAAATGTTAGCTTTCAGTCATAAGTTAAATTGGATTTTCATGCACAAATTTGGAAAATGGCAAAATGGAAGTTTTAATGTATTTTTCTCTTGACAAATTTTAAAAGGCTCTTAAAAGTCAGTTTGACTGTTCTGAGAATTGTCCTCTAGATGGTATGGCAGAACACACTTAAAGCTTTGAGTTGAAACTGGGAATAGAGCTTCCTCATCATTTGGTGACTCTGAAATGCAGTTGACTGCATGGCAAAACTGTGGAGTGGACCCTCTGGTTGAAGTGTTGCCAATTTTGTTATATTGGTTTAGGTTTTTTTCATATTTCATTTACTTTAGGTCCTTGTGCTGCTCCTATAAATAAGGCTCTACTACATAGATTTCTGAGACTCATTTACATGGATTTTTTTAATGTGGATTATTTTTGAATTGCTATACCTGATTAACTCCTCTCATGGACACCTCATTTTTATGAGTGGTTTTAGGAATGGATTATGCTAATGCAGAATAAGGGGTTTTTATCATAAGACCATCCATACAACAAAGTAACCAGGAACTCTCTTGAATTCAGTTCACCTTAATCTTTATTGAGTTCTTGCTGCTGAAAAAGCCATTTCTTAGAGCCAAAGCTGGCTGGGGACACATGCAAAGCTTCTGCCAGCTGCAATGAGAGTTTTAATATATGTAATGTTACATCCCTTGGGAAAGGGTGACAACATTAACCTAGACTTAAAATACGAGGGCATTTTTTAATGCATTGGGAGGATTTTTTTTGGACCTTATTAAGGTCTGACAGCCTTGTCTCTTTTTCTGGAATGATTTATACAGGGATTGTGTGTACAAAACAATTCAGTAACTGTTTTATCATCATATTATCTGAGATTTTAGGTGTTCTTTGTGTTAGTGCTTATAACTAGTAACAGCATGTGACATTATTTTTATTTGAACTTTGTATTTAACATCTTAAAACGGTAAGGAGAGTTGCTGTAGCTTATTCTGTATGCCCTACAGCAGTATGTTCATTCTAAACTGACTTCTCTGTGAATTTAAGGAACCTAGGAGAAGTGATGGGGTAGCTGGGACATGCAGAATCTGTTGGAGGACAGAAATAAAATTGCTGCTTCCTCTGCAGTTCCATGCTGTAAAAGTAATAACTGAGGCCTCACGATTACATAGAAAAGACCCTCCTTTCCCTGAAATAGAGTGGATTTTTTCACACTTTATTGGATTAATGTTTGTATAATCTTGTTAAAAATAATCAGAAGGGAAGGTTTCCAGTGTGCACTAAATGTGTGCTGATGTGGTGTAAATTTATTGTGAATGCATTTTTCCACTAATTTCAAAGAAAAATGGTACATGAAAATCATATTTTTGCCTCCCTTTTTTCAGTTTAGTAAATATTAATTGCAATGTCTTCCATAAAAGATTGCAGTCTTTGAATCCTGAGTAAGATATTCTGGGAAGAAATCTAAAGAGATATCAGGTTTCTTTAAAATTCATGCAGATAATCTGGAGGTTGCAGTATTAAAGCTGTGATTGGTAATGAAACACCAAACCCTGGTTAGAATTCACTTTGAAGTTCAAGCAGTAATAAAAGGATATGACAAGTGAGATAATGTGACGAAACTATGCAGGTATCTTACAGTTCCTCTTTGGTAACCTAAAACAGATTTAAATTTTTCTCATTTCACAGGTCCCAGACAACAACACACCAGGCTTACAGAATCAAACACAAAATAGTGACATCGCTGGAGTGGAAGTGCTGTCCTGGGTACAGTGGGCAAAACTGCCAACCCAAAGGTGAGTAGAGCTGTAAGGGTCTGAACTCTTCACTTCAGCAAAAGAAAACAATGCAAGTTTGATCTGTGAGCAAATGGCTCTGTTGAAACAAATGCAGTGCTTTCAGTTAAATCCAAAACCAGAAAAAATGCACAGTAAAAAAAAAAAACAGCTTTGGGATGTTGATTCTTCCCTGCATGTGAATTTCCAGAGCATCTAAGCAGAATGTCTTTTCCCCTCTTCCACTCTAAATAAAGCTCATAACATCTCCAGCCATATTTCATTTTGCTAAAATATGGAGTTTGCATTCAGTGTGTCTCTACTTTTGACCTTTTAGTTATTGAGATTTGCAGTGCTGGGGGAATTAAATCCAGATCCTCTATTGAATACTTGCTGTAATATTCCTCTACAACAGTGTTATTCTTTTGCCTTTTGGTTTCAGGCTCCAAGAGTATATTTTGTTTGTGATAAAATAATGATACAATTTTTTTTAACTTCTCTGAATTTTGTAGTTCTGCTGCTGTTCATTTCAACTGAAGTGACTGAATTTTTCTAGGTATTACACATGATCCCTGCATAATTGTGCCCTTTTTGACAGAATAGCCTTTTACCTCTGCCCTGGTGATCAAACATGTGGCATCATATTGTAATTTTACATCTGTATAAAAGCTCTTTCTTTGCTGCTGGCCTTAAGCAAGCAGTCCTTGAAAAATTAGCTATGGCATCAGTATACAGGTTTTAAATTAATGAATATTGCAAGAAAGGCTATTAGATATGATAGGGAATTCAATCAGCAGCGGTAAAGTAAAGGGCTGTGATTAAAAATTAATGTAGAGGAATGAAGAAAAATCACTATTGTTCACATCCAGGAGGGAAATTTCAGTGCCAAAGAGCCAGAACCTTGGCAGGCACAAAATTCTCCTCTGCACAGCAGTGTGGAGTCAGACATTAACAGATATAACAGAGCACAGTCAATCACCAAGGCTGTCCAGTGAGCATGGATCAAGTGTTTTAAATATTTCTTTTCAGAAAAGAGCAAACATTAGCAAAAATAGATTAAAAAAATGTAAAGGGTAGCATTGAAGGGCAACATCACAGTTGACAAAATTGAAATGGCATCAAAATAACAAGCAAACATTGACTAGGAAGAAAATCTGTATAGTTCAATTTGTAGTGGCATCTGTGTAAAAAATAAGGATAAAGGGAAGTGCTGTGAATTGTTACAGGAGAGGGTGTTACATCTCCTGGGTTCTATTTTCAAACCTCTTCTGGCTTACTGAATAACTTGGGGAAGCCACTTATAATCTGCATAACCAAGTTTACCCATCTAGAAAATTGAGATGACACTTATCTCACAGGGGCACTGGGATATTTAATTAATTAATGCTTGTAGAAATGCTTAAAGAGATTGGGATGAAAGGTGTTATGTCAGAGAAGCTTTTCTTCCTTGCTTCTGGAATCCTGCCTCCCATGAGGAGCAGACCACCAGCACAAGCCTGCCTGTATTATTCAATTCCCACGGAGGGACGTGGGCTAATGAACTTGAACAGCTGGGAGCCCCAGAGCCTTGTCTTCCTTCCTGTGCTCCACAGCAGCAGGAGAGAGGCACTGAAAGTGCTGAGTGGGGCTCTCTCGAGTTACTGAGCCTCCCCCTTGGCCTCTCTGTTGTTCAACAACAGAATTGTTACTGAAGGGTTTCTGTGCCAGGGGAACTGGGCTGTTCTGACAATCCTTTAGATCCTGGAAAAGGCGCTGTTAGTGGGATGTGGGTTGCTCATAGCAAATGCTGATTTAAAATGCCTTCTGGTTCAACTTCTCTCTCAGACAGAGTGAAGTCATGTGTAACTATTTCAGTGTGATAGTCTAGGTGGCAGAAACCACTTACCACCACCTGATAGCTATTACCAGACATCTGAAAGTCTTATTTGGTAGCCCCCTTGTAACTGCTTGGCTACAGATGCTTCTCAAGGTAGTGCAGTAGTGAGAAAGATGGAAGTGATGTGTTCAGATCACTTGATCAACTTACCTCCCTTGTGGCAACACATGACCAAATTGGCTAAGACAATGCAATTTTTAAAGAAAATTTACAAGAATGAAAAAATGTAGACATCATTTTTGTAAGTCTAACAAGACAAGTAAATATGGATGATTCCACAGTTAAAGCATCATTATTTTGACCTGGGAATATCATATGCTTGACTGGGAGCAAAACCACTAAAACAAAAGGACACCTAAACTCGGAGTTGACTTCATGACACGTTGCTTTTACTAAAGACAGCTTTATTTTAACTTTGTGTGTGTAGTAATGAAATCCCGGTTCCTCCATGTGCATTCAGAACAATCAATTATATGGTTTAGAGCCAGCAGCCGGCTCTGTCATAGCCGCTGTCAGCACGAAATTCCCTGGAGTGGCAGTGATGCCATTTCTCCAGCAGATGGCTGTGCTATGTCCCATCCTCTGCGTGCGGTGAGCAACATGCACAAAAGGTGGCAATTCGCCTTGAAACACAGGGAAACGGGAGGAACCTACCTAACCCGCTCTCTGGGAAACCCCTTCAGCCATTCGTGCTTCATCAAAGATATATTGAGTCAAAAAGATGCTATCTCTTTTTTTTTTTTTTTAATATTCCCTGAAATGGTTTTGAGTGCTATGTTTAAAAATACATGGGACTATAAATTATACATCTAGGACAATATATTGGATGATAGACACCTAATGTTAAATTTCTGTTTGCATTTCCTGTTTTTCTGATACAACTGGAATTGTTGTATCAGAAAAACAGGAAATTTCTCATTTCTCAGGATTGCTCATTGCTCAGGATTTTGTATTGCTGCTTTTTTGGTTTTGTTTGTGGTGTTTTGTTATTGCAAATGGTCCCTCTAAGGTGGGTCTAGCTGTCTCATTTGAATTTCTTTTTTTTTTTTTTTATTTAAACTGAGCATGGCATATCTAATTTTTAAAAGGTCTCAAATGTGAGTTGTTTGATAGCTATTTCTACCCTAAAGAGTATGTGTATTAGGTTTTTGGTCTGGTGCTCCCATCACACCTGCTGTTATCCAGCATCTACAGTGGGAATCTCAGCTGTGGGAATAAGGGGCACATAAATGTAATCACCATATGATGTCTTGGAATGATTGCTTTGGAAAAGGCCTGAGCCCTGCTGGAAGAATGATGTAGGAGAAGCTATATTGCCAGCGACTCCTCTGAATTTGTTTCACAAATGAAAAGCCTGAATTTCTAATGCTGCTTGCCAAGTACCTTTCCTGTACCGTGGTGAAATGTGATAAGCACACAATGTGTGACTGTCTGGGGGTGAGGCTGGTGTGTGTGTGCATCACTGGATCCAGCCCTTGCTGCTGTCAGAGGCGCTGCAGTGTACTTGGGGTTTGCTCCATGGCTGGTTTGCTCTGACAGAGATGCTGTGTGCTTGGTCTCACTGCCATTATGTTACCTGAACATTATGTTATGTTACATGAACAATTTTAAAGCATTAGTAAAACAAGCACACAGGGAGAAATATGTGTCCTTGGAACTTTAAGAGTGAATAAAACTGTGACGGTTTGGGTATTCTAGAGTGTGGGGCAATTCATTTATTAGGGAGAATGAAAGATAAGGTAGGTAGTATATATACTAAAAAAATGTGGCATCTGTAGCACCAATGTGTCAGTGAATGCATTTAGAGCAATGGAAAGACCAGTGAATAAAAGGACATTGATCAGCTGGTCTTTATCACAGGCAAGTAACTGACTCCCTTGTCATAGATTGTATCACCACAACACCACCTAATAAATCCTGTATAATGAGTTGGGCTGACTGCAAGAATTTAGCTTCTGTCAAAAACCATGCCACAGAAAGATAAGAGAAGCTGTTAAAATTATAACCATTTGAGGATTTTGTATTTCTCATCAGGCAATTTGAAAAGATTCTATCAAACCATTGATCCATATGATGATTTCATCTGAGTTCGTAGCCTAATTTTTCAGCACCCTCAATTTACAATTTAAACACCTTATATTGTCCTAATTGCAGTCTATTTATCTTCAAATGTTATGTGAAACATGGAATTTCTTGATTCCACATTTTAATCCATTTCCCTGGAAACTCGCATTATGGCTAAACTAGATTTTAATATTTGAAGTGCAAAATAATGTCACCATACCCAAGTTATTCTGCTTGTACTGTACTAAAGACTGGAAATCACATTAGTGCCACATAAGTGGCATTCCTTAGATATGCTCTTCCTGGAACATTGACTTCAAAATGTTCCACAAACTGAGCAAGTATGTAAAAATTGGTATAAATTTACATTAGTAAATTTATTACCTAATTTGTGCATATTTTGTTTTTCAAAATAGTAAAATAAAACAACATCATTAAGCCTGATGGCTAGAGAATGTATGTTAGGAATATGGAAATCTCAGTTCTGTTCCCAGCTATCTGACCAGTTCATTACTTTTTGTGAGTGAAGGCACTTAACTTTCTGGACCTCAGTTTCCACAGCTATGACATGGAATTAAGAATGTTAGTCCAGCTATTTGAAATTACTTTTGGATCTTTTGGGCTGAAATGTAAAATAAAACACATAATCTCATCTGAGAGAAAGCAGAGAAAATACTGACAAAATTGCCACCTTTGTGAAGTTTTTTTATATATGTATACCAGTCATAAATGTCAGATGACATTTTTTGGAACTTAGAACTTGATTATTTTTTGAAATTGTTCTTATTTTTTAGGTGCTGCAAAAACGTAGTATCACCATTGTCTTTAGTATTAAGATTGCCATGGTTGAAGATCTGTGTAATCTGTAAAAAAAAATACCAAAACAGAAACAAATAAAAAAAACCGAAACCAAAAATCAGTTTCAACAAACCTGGTTAATTTTGTAACCATTAAAAATCCCTAATTAACTTTACAGCTGACAGTCTCAGTATCGTCTTTATACTGCTGTTTTATATTGTTCTAAAATATTCCTCTAGAATTTTTTGCCTGTAGCGTTTAAAAAGTCTGTTCATTATACAGCAAATTTTGACATTTTAATATTAACACCAGCCCCTGCCATTCTTGAGAAGTCTTTTATAAAGACTGTCACCATCTTGAGCAATGTGGTCCCACACTTCATGAAGCAGGTAAGAGTCACTGCAGATGATCAGGCTTTGGTACAGCTGGTACAGAATAAAGAAAGAAAAAAAATTGTTGTGCAATCCCAATTATCATGTTCTGTGGTTCACTTACATCCTTGCTTTCCTTTTTCTTCCTTCTCTAGCTCAAGAACAGCAATCAGTTATACACAGCAACCAAGCTGAAAGCAGCAGAACTGTTGGTGAGAGGATGCCAGGAGCTCTGCAGGACCCCAGTGGGCCAGGTCAGTTGTTAAAATTGCTCTCACCTCTATTCAGTCACTGAGATCACTGCAAAAACAATTTGAGGAAAATCTCTGCCTACTGAAGGGACCTGAATGCAATGTCAGTTTCTATCAGTCATGGTGCAGTGGTTTGCTCTTCTGATAAAGATGGGCAGAAGATACTGAATTTAAATGCACCAGCAGGTTAGAAATAACAGAGGGTTTTGTGCCTAAATTAAAACCAAGTAAGTATTTGGTATAGAAATATTTAAACTATTATGTTATTGAATACAATTAATTAATTAACAGGAGAAAAACAAAAGAAAAGTAAAGCAAAAAACCCCAGCCCAAATACAGAAGTAGTACAGACCAGCACTGCACACACAAGAAAATGTAATTAAGTTATTGACTAGCTGAATACGTGATTATTGCTATGTATGTTCTTACAAATATTGGTTCTTTATTCAAAATCAGTGCAAAGATGTTTCAAACCTTAACAAGGGCAGCTCAGGCATCTTTTAAGCTACTATGTCTAGGATGATCAAATAACTAAGAAACAAAGCAAGAGTTTAAACATTTATACCAGAGAGGTTTGAGAGTATTTCTTATTGCCTCGTGCACTTCCTCATTGTTGTGTTTACTTTAAGTAATCTGGATATTATGTTTTTGGAATATAATGTCAGTGTTGTCTTGTAAGTATGTACAGAAAGATGAGAATTGTAAGAGCTGGTCAGTAACAAAAAAGATTCGTTCAAATAGTGATCTATATTGAGAACCTGTGTTAGATGACTGCTTTGTGAAAAGCTTCTCCACATTTTGGTTGCTAATTGCTGGAAGCTTTGTTTGGGAGATATCCTGTGATGTTTACCATTTTAGGAGGAGGCACCCTACTGTTGCCTACACGTGCTGCAACATGAATGGTGGCCATTTTTCACAGGGATAAAGCCCCATTCCCCCAGTGTCTCAGGGTCAGGTCAGAGGTGGAGTTTGGGGCTCCAAGGGCAGCCTGAGTCTAGCTGATGGCAGCTTTGGTCTTGGAGAGGTCCTGCAAGGTTCTCGGTTTTTGGAGGCAGCACGTGACTTGGGCCACATGCACCTGGTCTCAATTGGTGGCCCTTTTCTACTTTTCATGGTGAGGACCCAAAAAATGGCCAAGATGTGAAGGAATGTTTAATGGAAGTATATTCCTTGAACTTTCTTACTACCTTCCTTTTCTTTTGAATCTATTAATGCTTCTGTTATTTTTGTCTACACTGGCTTTTTGTATAACTGTTGTCTGTTCCATGCTGTGGTGTTGTTGTCACTCACCTATTGGCCTATATCCAGAAACATTCTCCTGAAGCAAATAAATAAGTCAGGTTATATTATCAGGTCTGTGTTTTGCAGTTTTAAATACCTTCTTGTGGGCTGAAATGCACGCTGAGAGAACAGAGTGTCATAATTAAGATTGCCACAGAGTTTTATGGAGATTTTACACATGCATGTGCTTACATGCATGTATTTGCTTTATTTTAGATCTTAATAGACAGGAGAAAAAAGAGAAGGAAAGATTGAATCTGGCGTGGAGATTTAGAGTGGTATTTTTGAAAGGGAGTTGGGCTGTTGTGCCTTGGTGATACTGTGTGAGCAACCAAGTATCTCAGGGCTGGAGGGAGGGGCATGTTTAGTAAAACAGACAAGGCCTATGATGAAAAAGTGAGCTTGATCAACAGAGCACTGAAACATGCCACTTCTGTTAGTAGGAATTATGCTCTGAGAAATAAATCTGAAACTGGAATCTCTAACCTCCATGTTAATTGCTGTTCAGTTATTTTTAAATCAAATCGGGGCAGTCTAGAAAGAGAGAGATACCTGTTGTGGCTGTCAACCCTGCAAACATGGCCTGGGGCCAGGCCTGACTGCTGTGGTCTGTCATTCCATCAGCACCTGCTACGGCTCTACAAGCCAAATTCTGCTTCCAGCTCCCACTTTGCAGCCATGCCACTTTGAGGTTCATGTAACTTCTCTTCCTCCCTCAGTGGGAACTGGTAGAAACCAAGCAAAAAAAAACCATTACACCCTGCAGGTTAGTTATCAGTTTGGGTGTCTGTGTGTGAGCTGCTGATGAATTCAGATCCCTTTCTCATAGTAACAATTCAACCAGAAGCAGAAGTGCCCAGACCTGTTTGTCTCTCAGAAAGCTGTATTATGAAGACAGAGGTCTATCAATGGCCTGTCTTTGCAGGGCCAGTCAGAAGAATGGCCGGAGTCGAGTGGCCAACAAGGTGGTCGAGTTGGAAACAATTTAGTACTTATCTAAGTAGATACCTTGGGTAGAGAACACAGTTGGAGATCCTGGCATCCTAACCTGAAAGAGTCTTACTCTCCAGGCTCTTACTGTGATGGCCTTTACAAGAACCGTGACTCTACAGGAGAGCATTCTCATGAGTGTTTGCCTGCTTCATCTGCATCTCTACCTATCTTTGCATACCAGAATTTTAAAGAATACAAGTCATCAGAAGAATATGCCCTTTTGCATATAACTTGCTTGGGGTTTTTGGAGCCTTTGAACCCCTGTACTTAGACAGGATTTCTGATTAGAACTGTTTGCTGCCATAGAATAGACACTGGTGCTGTAATGAAAAGTGACAAAGGATCAATAGGAATACTGTAAACTTACACTAATAAATATTTGTATGCAATGCTAAAGAATCTCATCCATAGCAGTTTATTAAGTCATAGTATAGTCCAGATCATTTGGGATAATATATGCCAAACATAGGCATTTAGGCTGAATTCTTGAAGGAGATTTTCTAGCTTTGCTTTTAGGAATTCAAGCATCTAATTTTATCAGCATCTTCTGAAAATCCCTGACTAAGTTTGATACCTGTCACACTCAGATGGCTGGCTGAAGTCATGTGGAGTCCTAATTTTCGACATCAAGGCATCCTTCACCATTACCTATCTTAAAAGCATCCATCTAGGCCTTTTTATTCCTGAGGAGGCTACAAGCATCAGGAGCAATTTGGGCAGGTTTTAAAATAAACTTGACTTTGTAGGTTAAGCTTCTATTTTTAATGATAATTTTGGAATCATTATTCCAAAGTAATTTATCTATTAGCTGATTTTCTGCCTCGCTGCTGTGTTGAACAAGTCTTTATTTTGACCCTTACAATGGAAAGATAATGTATTCCTTCAGACAGAAGCCTTGCAAATTCATGAAGTTGTGTTATAAATGGTAAGTAAAAATGAATGCTTTTGTGATTGTGTTAGAGGAGATTCACTAAATGAGAGTTAACGGAATACCCTGTAGGGTGCTAGGTAGAGGAAGAATGGCATTATGTTGATTAAAATAAGGTAACCATTCAGAATACTCTTGTAGAATCATAAATACTTTATAATGGATACATATGCTTCAGTAATTAGTAACTGCTGTGCTGCTGAATCTCACTAATACATGGTACATGACAAAAATAAAGATGATTTACTCAAAACTAAAAATTCAGAAAATTTTCACCCCACATTTAGCTAATATCTCTCAGTCAATTATACCTTCTTTTATTTACTCACTAAATGATGTTTAACAATACTTGTTTGGGGGATTTTTTCTCATTTTGTTTCCTGGCCAAGCACTTTATCAAAAAATGAATGAGAAGATTAGCAGTCAGGAGATGAAACTGACTTTTCTACAGAAGAAGGTTGACAGCATTGCTGCTGCGATGAATGATGTGAGCAAGATGCTTTCTTCTCTGGAAGGCAAAATCAATGAAGATAAGGGCAGAGACTTCCAGTCTTTTCTAAAAGGTAAGAAAAATAAATTAATGTAATCACTCACCCTGTTAGAAGTGCCAGGAAAAAAAAAAACCTAAAAATCTTCATAGACTGTTCTATTCTATTACTCAAAACTTGTTGGGAGAACTCCTTTTTAAAATTTCATTTCATAAGAGAGGAATTTGCTTATTGCAACATTCGCTATGGTGTCTTTCATAGTGACAAAAAACTTATATTCTTGGATGCTTCATCATCTATATGGTAGCTTAAGCTACTATCAAGGTATTTTCATTTGCTTAGAGCATCTGCAAATATTCCTATGTCTGTTTCTGTTTATCTGGCAGCTGCTAAAGGATGTAGTGTTTGTTTTGCTACCAAGTCTAACTAATATTCTTTAATACATAATTCACACACACAGGGCAAACTACAAGGAATTGTGTGGTGGTTGTGTTTATAATACAGCAAACATTCTGCTGAATAATTTGTCCCTGATTGTATTAGGCTATCTTTGATAAACATCTGTACTCATGTTCAGTAAATGAGAAAGACACAACTAGAGATCAGATCCTCCCCAGCAGAATCATGCATCCATTTGTTGTGAATCCTATTGCAAGATCTGGGTGTTACCCAGTTCAAAGTGCTGTTTAACAAGCAGATTCAGACTGAAACTTTCATTTCCTCAATGTGCAATATTTTTCTAATTTTTCGGGAATATTCCCCAAACCATATTTTGCACTTAGGAATCCAGAGACTTTTCTACTATTTAAAAAGAGAACAGAGGTTCTGGAGTTCCTTACACTGAGATTAAACTGAACAAAACAATAAGGGGTTTTGTATCTCCCTCTGATTTATCAAGTTGGGTGCCATTTCTTGTATTTTCAGTCCTCTGTCTCCTGAGCTGCTCCTGCCATGTGCTAGATGGCTCTCTTCTATGCAAGTTCATTCCATCTCTTGAGCGGTGACCTGCTTTCACCTCTCCACATATTGCTAGATGGCATTCTTTGGGTGCACGTTTAATCTGTCTTTGAATATTTCCCATTTCCCTTCTGCTTCCTCCTATTTTTTTTTTCTATTTCACTCGTTCTAGCTGTCATTTTCATGCTAGTCTAAGAGGTGTTTTTCAGCATCCTGTGTTTCTGCTTCTGCAATCCCTATCTCTATTTCAGGGTCTAAGTCTTAATTAAAATCTGCTGTCCAAAACCCTCCTTCTTTGAAAATGCCCTTCAAGCCTTTATTGTTTTTACCTGTAATGTTTTATATTATACCTGCTCAGAAAAAATCTCCAGCTGATATCCTTCTTTTTGATTTATCTTCTCAATCTATCTCCTAATCAAGGAGATAGAGCACCAATTAAAAAGATGCTATCAACTACATTCCTTGGCTCTAATTATGAGCATTCCAACACAGGTTATTCTTGGCTTCTACATAGGTAAAGAGCAGAAATGAGCAAAGGAGGGGAGAAAGAAAAGGTTAGTGTGTATGATGGCTTCTATATGCAATGACAAATGGCAACTGCAGTTTCTGTCCAGGAAATATCAGTCAGTTATACTCAAATGCATAAACAGCACTGAACATTCCACCTTGCTAAAAATTACTCTTAGAAGCTCACCTGAAGCAAACCACAACTTTCCCAGTACCATTGCCATCCTGAAGCAACCCGCTTTTAAAGCACAGTAAAGGCTGTAGTTGCTTTATGCTAGTCAGGCATTTTACTTCTTCACCTACTTTTCCATTTTCTTCCTCTGGTGCTAGGTCCTTTTCTCACATCCATACATCACCTTTTTTTCTTATCACAGAAGTTCTAATATTCTGCCCAGCTTTGTATCAGGGTTTGTTAGGAGCGAGGTCAAACAATTCAATACAGTTTAAAAAGTCTTTAATTCTTGGTTTCATCTATGACTTCAGTGACACAAACATGTCATCTGCTGATAGAGGGCAACACTCACTGGAGTAACTGATATGCTCCTCTGTTTAGTTAATGAAACCTGTTGTGCATTTTAAAAATTGCTTTCAGGATTCAGGAAGCTGTTCCCATTTGTTACTTAGGGAAAATAACTTTGTGCTCTTTTTAATTTAAAAAACTCTGCTTCCTGCTATTATTTTCTTCTTCCTCTAATTCCATATTTAATATACACCTTTCCTCTTCATTATAAAAATGTACACTCCTTTCAAAATGAACTCAGTAATGGAGTGTTAATCACTTCCAAGTCAGAAATGTCATTTGCAGCTGCATATATAACCTCAATTCAGTCTCCTGTGTACATAAATTTATTTTGCACATTATTCTTCAAATAATTGAAACTGCAAAGAGAATATATGTTGACACAGAGTAATTACACCCTTTGGTTTTCAGCCAGGAAACTAAAATTAAAATTTATAATCTCATAAAAAGTGCAAGAGATCTTTAACGTTCACAGGTAGCTTGGACCTTTCTATTCCAAAATGAGCAACAGAGAAATTGAGTTACATCCACGAGTGCACACGTGTTTGCAGCTCAAGCTTAACAATATACCCAATTGTCACCAAGTTGGGGTCAGGTCTTTGTGTGGGCTCCCACAGCTCCTGCTGCACTTTGTTTACAAGCTACCCAGTTGTCCTAGCCAGAAAGCAGGGTAGAGAGAAACCCAAAGCTGTCTGGTTTAGCAGGCTCCACCCCCGCCCTGGTCAGGGGAACACCTGAAAACCAGTGCTGAGCTCCATACTACACTCACTATCCAACTGCATGGAGCTGGAATTGCTGTTCCAGCAATTCCACTTGGAGAGTAAGGCTGGCACCTTCGTGTCTGTTACAGAAAGAAAAGGTTGGTATAGACCCTCCGGAATGTCTCTCACAGATGAATAGTCTGTTATCAAGATTTGTTGCTGAGATGAACAAATATAGTTGATTCCTCACAGAAGGTTTAGAGTAACCTTGGTTCTTTCCAGAGCCATCAAATTTTTCTCCACAGCTCATTGTGTCTCTTAGAGCACAGAACACTTTTCAGCATCAGTAAGTAACCTGACCAAATGACCTCTTGGAATGTTTTTTCTACATTAGTTCATATCTTGGTTTTTCCTCTCAGCTGCCAGTACACCTTTATTCTGAGGTACTTCAGTGTGCACATACATGTGCATGTTCATGTACAGACATGTACATCTGTCTAGTCATTGACTTACTCTTTAGGTTGTTAAAAGGAAGATAATAAAGGTAATCTCAGTATTATCACTGCTGTTTATTATACTTTATATAAAATTGCTGGGACATTTGGGACCTCAGTTGACAATAATGGAGTTTAATTCTTAGGAAACTTCATGCTAGATTTGTGATGGGGCTCTTTCCTGGGCCAGTAAACTTGGATCTGATTACCTGATGCTTTACTGCACTTGCTGAGAATGTGCCTTCAAGTAAGTTTTGAAGACCTGCCTCAGTGTTTTAAAGATGAAGAAATAAATTCCAGGCTGTAGAAATAATTGAGATTAAAATGGAAGAGGGGAACAGATAATTTCTGCCTTTATCAGTACAGTTTTAATCAGAGAACTTGTGGTCATTGAGGCATTATAGAGGTTGAAGAGTTTAATCGTTATATCACAGTCTGGCTGCAAATGTTCATAGGGCTTATGAAAATTGAGCAAAGAATGCTTCAATGTTTCAGTTGGACAGACGAGCTACCTTTGAAGAATAAATTAATAAAATTCCTTCTATTCTCATACCAGAGCAGAACTACTGCTCTAATTGATTGAAATATGTTATGCAGAACTCTTTTATAGCTGTCTTGACCTCTCTAAGGCTAAATGGGAAACATATATTTTCATGTTTTTCGCTGGGGCAGAATTCCCACATGCACTTCTGCCTGGTGCTTTTCAGGATCAGAATTCCTAAGAGCTCTTTAAGGAGTTGTATGCAAGACTTAAAGTTTCTACCTTTAAAATGCCTGCATCTTTCAGCAGTTGTCATGTCACTAACTTTAGCTATTCAATAAGGTTATTTTCAAAATTTTGCTTCTTTCTCACAATAGTGTGTTGCATCATCACCTAGCACGTACAATACAGTAGGAAGGTAATAATCTCTGCTTTCATTTCTTGACCATAATCTTGTGAAGCAGATTTTTCTTTTTTTTTTTTTAACTTAGTTCCCTAGTGGAGAAAGGACACATCATTTTTTATGAGCAAGCCACAAAAGCACACAGATCTCCCCCTTCCAATGCTCAGAAACATCTTAGGTAAGAGGTTAAAGCTGGTACTACATGTAGAGTTTGAGTTTGTCCTTTCAAAATACTAGCAAAAGTCCCACTGATTTCAGTAGAAACAGGGGTGGATCCTCAAACACTGTAGCTGTATATAAACTGTAAGCATGCTCTACATTCTTCAGCTGTACATTTTACTCTATATGTGGGTAAACTGGGGCAGGGATGTGTGTTTCACCTCTGTGCAGCGCTGTGTTTCCTCACATTGTGGGGAAAACTTCAATGTTAGTAACATAGTTGATTTGATTGTTTCCGTATTTCTCCTTTCCCCCAAAGGTCTCAAATCCAGAAGTATCAATGACTTAATCAAAGACACAATCAGAGAACACTTTCAAGTATTTCAAGGTGAAATGCAAGAGAGCATGGCTCAGATTTTCAAGACTATGTCTAGCATGTCAGGTGACCTTGAAAATACAAAAGAACTATTCAAGCACCTGAATGAGACCCAAAATAAATTTGCTCAGGAGAAAGATAGTGGGCCAACAGAGCTTGACATTCTGGAGCTGAAGAGTCATATGGTGCAGATGAGAGAGGAAATGGCCCTCACTTGTGAGAAGCCTGTGAAAGCTTTACAAGAAAAGCAGAAGTCCTTGGAAGTGAACTTGGAGCACCAACAGTCAAGAAGTGTAATTTATTATCAATCTTTAAATAAGACCCTCTCTGAAATGAGAGATGCTCATGAACAACTGTTATCAGCTGAACGGTCTTCAAGACAAAACCTCCCCCCAGCAGATCAAGTCACAGAGTACAATGTTACAGAGTACATGATCACACTGCATGAGAAAGTAAAGAGACAAGGCATGATGGTGCTGGAGATCTATGATGACTTAAGAGTGCAAGATAGCAAGATCAGCAATCTCAGTGTTGCACTGGAAATTCAGAGGGACTCTGTTCTGGGGGTCTGTGATGACATGTTGTCAGAGAGCAGGACAGATTTCCAAGCACAGCTGGCAGCAGTCCAAGAGAGTGTGATTGTTCTAAACAAGAGTCTCTCTGATGTGTTCCTTCCATTGGGCAATAAGATGGACAGAATGAATGAGCAAATTAATGACTTGTGCTATGATATGGAGATCCTGCAACCCTTGATTGAACAAGGAGTACCTTTCAGTCTAACTTCAGAGTATGAGCAACAAATCCAAACTAAAGAATTGAAAGAGAAACTTGAAAACCTCACTGTTGTCATTAACAGAATGAATTCTGCAATGAAGGAACTTTCTAAAACTCAGGAAGGACTTAAAAATGAATCTCAGGCTTATCAGGAACTGTTTGAGAGTCGTGTTCATGAATGCTCCATAGAAATAGAGGACGGATTAAACAAGACCATGATAGTAGTAAATAGTGCTATAGATTCTATTCAAGATAATTATGTACTGAAAGACATGCTACATGCTCTAAGAAATGAGACTGAAGTTTGCTGTGGCAGAGCTGAGGAACTGGACAGCCTACTGGCCTTTATTCCCCAGTTCCAACAGTTGAATGAATCTCTCCAGTCACTGCTTTATAACAAGAGATACAAAATTACTTCACAGGTAGCGCTATCTCTTTCTGATCTTCCCAACAAGGAGTCTGACAAAAGCATCCTCCACAATTTCAGCAGAGTTTTCCATATTTTAAATGATACCTCATCAAAAGTGGAAAAGCAGCAACAAGATATCAGCCACCTGGAAGAAAAACTGTTTGACTCTGTGGAGGGTTCAAAGGACCACGAGGTTCGCCTTCTGAATGTGGAGTCAAAAATTTCCAAGTTTTTGGCAAACAACTGTGTCTCACTAAAAAAAACCAAAGCTGCCTCAACAGAGAAAGAACAGGTGGTCTCCCTTCAGCTCCAGGCACTGAGTTCCAGGATCAAGGCCCTGGAAGCCAAGTCCATCCGTTTCTCAAACATCATTCCACTCGTGAACAAGACTGCTCATGAGGCCTGGGGGCTGTGCCAGGACACCAACAACAGCATCCAGAAAGTGAATGCAAGCCTACCTGTGCTAATTAAATTGGCTCAGCCAGATATCCCCCTGCTGCAGAGAGGCCTCAAGGAGCTCGTTGAATCTGTGCTTGAAGTAAAAGCAGGAGCTATTTTGACAAATTTAACCCAGCATGTTGACATATTCATGGTAAATGCAATGAACAACATCACCAAACTTCAGAAGCAGCCAAAACCTGTTATAAAGAAGCCCTCCCCAACAAAAAAAGTGGCAGGAAATGCCACCATGAGCCTGGCAAGCCGAAGCCAGAGAAACACGGATAATGCAATAGATCCAGGTAATGCATTTTACTCTACTAAAAATCCAGGTATGTTTTATAAAGATTATGTAACCATTATAATGAACAGAGGGGCAGAAATTGCCTGAGCGTAAATAAAAAGTCTAAAGACTGCTGTAAAGAGTGTTTCAGAGGATCCTGGGATTAGTTTCTTGCTTACAATATAATTTATTTTGCTTAGGAGATTTTGCACTCAATTTAACTTTCCTTAATAGGTTCCCATCTAATCAGTTTAAGATATAGACACATGCACATACACTTGGCTGAGAACCTGACCTTTGAAAAGTTACTGACAGTTTAGACAAAACCTAAAGAACCAGAATTTTATGCCTGCATCTCAGTTAACAATTTCAGTAGAAAAAAATGTATGCGAGCTGGGAGATAAATATGGAGTTGCATCTGTACTTTGCAGTGTCAGCAGGGATGATAGGTATCAAAAACCTGAAGCAAGTGAACAAAAATGACTGTAATGAGGCTTTTGCTGGCTCCTTCAGGACTTCATTGAGAAGGGCAGTTACAGCAGTGTGTTTCTGAAAAAGCAGGAATCCAGCCAATCAAGTAAATTTGGCTCCAGTCCACCTGGAGAGCAGCTCAGCTAAGCAGGAGCTGCCATTCTTAAAAACAAAATTTTGAGTGGGATCTGCTTCTGAACTTAAATTCCAATGCCATCATGTGAAATGAGTTATGAATGAATTCACAGAAGTACAAACTCTCGAGTTGTGACTTCTGCAATCATACTTGAGTGAAAATCACAAGCACAAGATAATGTTTTATGGAAATATAACTTCTGGCACAATACAGAAAATGAAGAGTGGATGAGTGACTCAAAATACTGAGATGATTCTAATTCACATTAAAATTAAGATTTCTTAATACCAGACTCAGAATACTGTCCAGATATTCTTGAAGATCCAGACCTGAATGTTTTCTGTAAAATGCTCCTAACTTAAGAACTTTTCTAAACCAGTACTTGGTCCCTATTGCAAGCAGATGTAGAGGTAGTAAGAGCTATTACTCTTGTTCATGTCCTAAGGCCATGGGCAATTTCCTTTTTCCTTTCCATGTGTTTTTCCTTCCTTTCCACTTCAATTCTTCATCTCTTCCCGTCCTAGGGACAGCATTTCTCAGTGATCAATGGAAAGGATCCTTTTTAAAGCCATAATCCCATGAGTAGCTTAGTTTCTGATGAAAGCCATCTCTATTGAAGGACTTCAGTCCTTGGTTATCCTTTCAGTTAGAGTGAGGACACAGCTACTAGAGGAGGCAATCACGCTTAAAAATGCACAAAGTAATTTGAATCTTTTGTTATACAAAATGGCAATTCTTTCTCAAGTCCTTTTTGGTTGATGTCTGTTACTGGAACTGCACAGGATGGAAATTCAAAATCTTTGTTCAAAATTGAAATGAAGAGAAAATGAGAGATGTCTTTGAGCCTTCCCACAGCATGTGCTTTGTTGGAAAGTATCACTAGTGCTACCTGCCTGGAACATGGGAAGGTGCCAGCTGCTCTGGTTTTCACTCCATATTGATGAATTCATGTCTTTCCCATTTCTTCTTTATACTCAATTTTAACAAATAACTTGCTTGATAGCATTGGATATATGCTCGCTGGCAGAAAGTGAAGTTCTTTACAGATGTGGAGAAGCCTTATTTTTCTATGAGGTTTCTACATAGCAATGTTGATGCTGACTTTTCCATTGGTAATGAGATTTTGTATTTAACCAATTTCATGCCTAGTAAAGCCATACATTATATTTCTGTAAGTTAAAGAAGCAAGACCATTACCCTAATTAGCAAATATCCATCTTCTTCCTGGGTGGATTTTCCTTCTCCATGAAAGCTTTTTCTCGCAAGTTCTAGGACACCACCTAGAACTACTGGAGTCAATCCTTTCCATAAGGAGACCATTAAATTGCTGAGTATTTGTTTTGCTTCTAAAAAAAACCCTGTAGGTACTGAGGGAGCTTCATTATTTGTTTGAGATTTGTTTGCACAGCATTGGCAGTCTATTTCCCACAAGAGCTTCTGCCTGCCTTCCCAAAGAGTAGCAAAACTGAGCATTCACTGCCTCTTCTCATTACTACCATACCAAGTGTAATTAGCAACTACATTTTATCCTCTGCTAGTAACAGTGACAATTTAAGCCTTGAATTTATAGTCTCTCTCTTTTACTCATCTGCACTACTGAATTGTGAAACATGAATCAACAATAAAATATTTGTTTTAGTAGGAGATGTGTTCCTAATCTGAACCCTCTGGTATCTTTGCCCCAAGGAGATAATTCAGACAGAGTGTCTCAGGACACTCTTCAGCAAGAAAAGAGAAAATCCTGGGCAGAGGAGCAGCCTCAGCCAGGAATGACAGCAGGAAGATGCTATTGCAGCATAGTTACATGAAGATTATTGGCACAGTGGAGATCTGCAGAATTTGCCTCTTGCTCTCCTAATTTGAGTCAAGCCCCACACAACTTCTCCTATTCTAGCAAATGGAGGAGCTTCCCAGTTGCTGTGTTTCACAGGGAGGGTTAATTTAATGTAGATAAAGCTATGTCTGAATTTGAATTAACTCCAAGGTTAAGTTCAGGCAGAATCACCCCACAGCAGACTTCCAAAATGCCACTCAATATCATTATCATTTCCTCTTAGTGATCTCTATCCTGTTTCTTGGGTTTACTTCTTGATTATGATAAGTAGAGGCCAATTAGCAGAGAGACTGCTGTGTTCTTACAGGAAGCTTTTGTATTTTGGGAGTATAATGCAGAATGCACAATCAGCTGTTTTCCTTCCTTTTCTGCTTTCCTTTGACACTTGGTTAATATGTGACTGCTTGGTAAATATCAGAGAAATGTTGTGGGTGCTTGGTAAATGTGAGTGGAAAAAAAACTGGAATGAAGGATGTAGCAAACAATTATCTGAGAAGCAAACCATTATTTTCTCATGTCCAGTTGCCTGTGCTGTGACCCAGTCATGACAGTTCTAAATTGCTTTATTTCAGGCATTACAGAATAGACATTATTTTCTGTGAAAAGAATGACTGTTGTGTTTATAAATCCATATGCTATATCAGAGCAAATTCAAGTGTCACTGTACAATGTGCCTCAGCATTCTGCTCACTGAACTAAAATATCTCACAGAAACAGTTTGCCTTTTTGCAGCAGTCTGTGAAATACCTGGTTGGGAAAATGAGGATAACACTGGAATGACTGAAATATCGATGTGAAATCCAGGTCAGCAGTTTCCTGGCAATAGCTAGGTACTTGTATGCAAGACTTGTTCAGTTCTGACCTACCAACCTAGATTTACCATAACAGGACTGTGTAGAGTTCTCTTTCCAGAGTTCTGCTGGTAGCTCCTGGCAAAGACAAGGGTTGTTTTCTAAACTATCTGACTTTTACTTCACCAAACCAGGAGAAAGCAAAAATGTGTGGTTTGTGTTCATAGCAATATTTATTGTTTTCATAGCAATATTTATTGTTTTCATGTGACCTGAATTTTCTCCCCCCAAAACACTGCTATGACAACACATTATTGATTGTCACTCAGTAATTGCTGTCTCAGAGCTCAGCAGCACTGGCCTGACAGATTTCTCTGTATTGGCTGAGTTGAATTTGGCCAGCTCATCCCTAAGTGGCAACAGAGGCAAGGACATCCTCAGTGAGGGTGCTCTGCAAAGCCACCTGTTTGGTATCCTTTTTCTTGCTTGCAGTCCAAAACTTCTACAACAACCTTGGAATTAGGGACTTATGGACAAGTACTTGAAATGGCTGGGACAGCATTTAGGACATTGCATCACCAAGAGCCCGGCTCTCCTGCATTGTTTGTCATGTGCCTGGGTGAAAAATGTCCTAGACAAGACAGTCCCACCTGTACAGCAGCAGTACAGAATCTCTTCTGGTACACCCAAGGATAACATGGCTCATTCCAGAAAGAGCAGCTGATCTAACTTCTTTGGAGGTTCTTCTTCCTTACTGCATGTGCCTGACCCTCTGAGACCAGCAGAGCTCAGAATTTACAGGTTATCTTGAATATCTTGGAGGATAGCTGCAGGTGGGCTGTGTTTGGGTGGAAAGGGAGGCTGGCCAGGAACTAAAGTTGGCCTTCAGCAAGAACTTCAGCAGAAATTGTGAATTGACAAAGAGCCTTTCCAAAATACTGCCTACTTGGGAAGTGTCCCTGCTGTGACATTACAGCTGAGGCTGTTGGGTTTGCTCCTCTCTTTCCCAGGGCAGCTCTCAGCGTGTGCCAGCTCCCCGTGCCAGAACGGAGGCACCTGTGTCAATGACAGACAGAGCTTTGTCTGCGCCTGTCGCCACCCCTTTGGAGGAGTCAACTGCAGCGTCAAGCTGGTGAAGGACAATTCCCTGAGTGTTGGCAAGTACAGGATTTAGCAGTGCAATCCAGGATCAGTGCAGGCTCTGCCCCAGGGCCTAATTACAGAGCATTTGCTGGTCAGAGGTCTCACGTTTTGCTTTAACGAGTGACAACTCAAGCAGCAGAGTCCTGTGTTTTGGTGCTCAAGACATCAATCCCCATGGGTGACTTGTGATCTCTTTTCCTAATATGACCAGATGATGGGATTAAATTGGTTTGGGACCTGTGATAATAGCTGGAAAGCTCCCTGGTGAAATGTGCAGAGTGGGAGGCTGTGCAGTAGATGCATTTGAATGCCATGTTATGGATTTTGAAGGGGGAGGTAAAAATACATCACTGGGAAATACTATCTTCAATGCAGCCATGAATGTTCTCTAAATACCAATAGCTACCAGAAGGTGTGGGACTGTGTCCTCAAGGAGTCATTTTAGGCCTGCCTCTGGCTTTCATCAGCAAAGGATGCAGCCCCTTGAAAGATTACAAAACGAAAAAAAAAAGTGAAAATTATGCTCATTCAGTATAATAAATACAATAAATAATTTACACCCAGGCCACATGAAATGTGAATTTTGTGCATCTTTCAGCAGCCGTTTGGCCGATTTTTACTCATGACAGCATATGAATAGTGAATGAAATCATTTGTACAGAAGCAGGGAATGATAGTGTACAGGCTCAGCTTGAAGAGAAACCATATACTTTTATTCCCTCATTTAACATCATGAATGCTAAACCTCCTTGCTGTTTGTCTAAGATTTCTGCTGCAATTCTTGGCTTCAGCTCACTCACATGAGCAATGGAAGAGATCCTGGAGTGGGGAAACTAGCAGGGGGTGTAAGGTGGAAAGAAAGCTCCCTTAATGATAACATAGTATAGACAAACATCCAGTTCCCTTGATGTTGCTAAATTTTTCTCTGGGGGATACACCTGTCACTAATTCTGAAGAAAATTACTTCTTATGTAATATAGTAGGATGTGTTTATGCAGGAATACTGTGTTTCAGTTGCTCAAGTTCAGTCATGCACAGGATGATGTGACATCAGAAAATCTGCATTTGGTCTTCTGGCTGGTCCAAGTTGCCTTTCTACAATGTAACATCACTTCAAATTTTTCTCTATTCCTTTCCAGATTTTTCAAAAGGATCATACAGATATGCACCTATGGTGGCTTTTTTTGCTTCTCATACATATGGAATGACAACTCCAGGACCCATCAGATTTAACAATCTGGACGTCAACTACGGCGCCTCGTTTGCCCCAGCAACTGGGAAGTTCCATGTTCCATACCTGGGGGTCTATGTTTTTGAATGGACCATTGAATCCTTCAGCCCACGTGCCTCTGGCTATCTGGTCATTGATGGGGTAGACAAACTCACCTTTCAGGCTGAAAATATGAATAACAGCAAGTACACCTTTGACAGAGTCATTACTGGAAATGCTTTATTAGAGTTAAATTACGGTCAGGAAGTCTGGCTCAGACTGGCAACTGGCTCTATACCAGCCAAGTACCCACCTGTAACTACATTCAGTGGTTACTTGTTGTATCGTACCTAATCAGTGCTAAGAGTGAGCTGTTAGTCAGATGAAGCAACCTGCAGGTGAATTTAGCTTTGCATTTGAATTCTTTGCTTCTTTAAGGGCGCTGAGCTTCCCAATGTAATGGCTGATCCTCCGAGATGTTCTTTGGTTGTAGCCACATGCCCAACCCCAAGGAGTCCACAGGTTGGAGATGGGGGAAAACAAAGCATCTTCCTCATATCAATATGACTGGGAAGCACAAATCTGATGCTGTTCTGCTGTAACATTGCATGGACATGCTTACATGAGATTGCTGAGAATCACTTCTCAAGAGAAAGCTCAGTTTGATCATTGCTTTACACCCTGACTGCAAATCAAAAGTGATGGATAGATTTTGATGACTCAGAGGCTGGATTACTACTTAGCTCATTGCATCAATTGAGAATTGTGTCTATCTATTCTGTTTGGAAAAAATTATATTTCTTTTTCATTTTGCCTTCCATTATTCACTGCATACTTTGATATGGCAGTATTCAATTGATTCATGATTTGTTTATGTAACCAGTATGATGATAAACTAGGTTTTTTGAATCTGGCAGCAAAAAACCCCAAGTGGAATACACTCAGATTAGAAATACAGTATTTGTAGCATTTAAATTAGTCATAGGATAAACACCATAATGGATTTGGTGGATTCTCTCTGCTGCTTGAAATATTTAATCCTCAGCTGGATTTTGCTTGGGTGACATGTTTTAAGCAAACATTGTCATATTGGCTTCACACAGATTTTAGCATTTGACCTATAAAGTACACAAGATTAAATTATATACCCAAAGTATTTTCTGAGTTTGAATTCTATAAATCTGATATTGTTTGTTTCTGCATTATATTCACTAACTACTGAGGCAAGATGAGCTTGACTTCAGTCTGCATGTGCTTTTTCAAAAGAAATATTTTTAATTGATGCCTGACTGCTTGTAAAAACAAACCCTCAGATTTTTATTCTTATTCTTTGCAAAGTCCCAGGCTGCTGCAGTTTCTTGATATCCTGTGACCTGGTGTGACTGGCCAGGTTTGTTTCTGGTTATTGCCTTTGTTAATGGTACTTGACCAGGTTTTTCTGTGTCTCTTTGTTTGTCTCACTCCCTTTTCTTAAAAGCTGGAAAAATCCAACTATGATCTATGCCAGTCTATTGAAGCACAGAATCTTTTGGTGCTCCCTGAATTATTTTGTTTCCCACCATCAGGAACTTTACTTGAAAACACATGGGCATCGTCAACTCTCTTCTTAGTATTACTTAATGTACCTTACAAGATCTTAAGGTGAATGTCCATGAAATTACTGAATTCCTGCCATGCCAGATGTGGAGAAAACAATCCACAATGTCTTCCCTCAGATGCATAAGTGTACATTCTGTTGTTCCAAAGAGAAATGAGCATTCCCCCCCAGAAGCAGAGGTGCTGGAGGGTGTCCATGGGTGTGTGCCTCTGGGTGCTGGCTCCCTGAACTGCAGAAAGGTGCAGCTCTCAAGAGCTTCCCTCCAACTTCAGGGGGCATCTTATCATGGCTTGTGGTTAAGGACAGCAGTTAAGAATTCAGGAGAGTTTTCAATCCCAGCCCACTTTTTTTTTTTTTGAGGTTTTTCTGTGACCAGAAATCCTTTCTTCTCTGTAATTAATGGGTTCCTAAGGTACCATGGACACTGAATGAGTGTGCTACAGACTTTTCCTCCTGTTGCATGCCACAATTTTCTGTAAATACTCAAATCTTTGATATGGCATTAACTCAGCCTACTGTATCACTGAATGTTATCAAACATAATGAACACAAGCCACACTCTCTCCTTGTATGACACTGTCATTTTAATGTGCTTAGTCCTCTTCATTCCTGCTGTGGTTATGGCTAAATGGCATGAAAATTACTCTCAAGATGAAATTAAAATGACCCACCAGAGTCTGCATCTCTGTTTTAATGGGACTTTCTTTGCCCTTGCAGCCCTTCCCTCTAAATCCTTCAAGCTGGCTCCTCATCTTCACAGGCACTGTATTTCCCCAGCATTCAAGTAATTTCTGTGTCATTGTACTGGTTTTCTTTCCTCTTTTCTCACCCCTTTTTTTTTCCTCCTCTCACAAAGCAACAGATTCATTGGGGTAGAGTAAGAATTCTGATTAACATCACATATGTATGAGTAACACTTAGAAGACTAATTTCCCTAATAGAAATAGCATTGAAACTAATTCTCATTTTCCTTTTTAAAACATGGGGGAAAAGGAACACTTGAAAATTATAATAAATGTATACTCCCCTTTCTATACTGTTTAACTATCCACTCCAATCTTTCTTCAGATGTCTTCAAACTAATTAGAGTTGACTTTGTCTATTTTTAAAAACTAAAATGCAGATTGTGCACTGTGAAGGTAGTTTTGTATCAATCACTGAAGCTTATTTATGGGCTTGTGACTGTACTTGAGCTGGCTGGACTCACAACACAAACCACTGAAAAATAAGTGAGGATCAATAAAACCAGTCAGCCTACCCATTATGCAGAATAGGAAACAACCAGCCTGAAATCCCAGAAGAACTTTTTAGGCATCACCCAGGATAGGTGGTTCCCGAGGCAGTTTGTCACCCCTCTGCTTTCATCTTCATGTTTGGATTTGCATTCCCTAATGCCAGCAGGCAGCAAATCTGAACGCTCATCTCTGCCCACAGCCCTTGTGAGGGACCACAAAGCCATCTTGAGCCTTTGTACTTCAGAGTGAACAGTGTTCTCTTTCTTTGGCTGGCTCAATAACCATGGCAACACTTTGCCTGCTCTGGCTCTGACAAGCCCATCCAATTTACTCCAGAGTTTGTGTTATCATTTCCTCACCTATACCAAGTGAGTTACAGCTGAACCCAGCCCCTCAAATGCTTGGGATCCACACTGAGACCAGCAGCTGGTTTTCCTCACATGCCATTTCTAGCTGCAGAGCCAGCACAGCTCATGCCAAGCTCCCCTGCTAACCCAGGCCTGCCTGGGTCTGTCCTGTGGCTATTGCTGGCTGTCCTTACATCTGGGATGTTGTTGTTGAATTATTTTTTTTCTCTGCGATAATAACATCAACGTTAGCAGCAAGCAGGAAAGAAACCATTATGACCATGAATTCAGGCAGTGAGGAAAAGCAGCTCTTAGGAGCAACACTGCAGCTAAATCCCATCAAAATCAGTGCATACCTGGTGATGAAGTACCTTTGGCAGTGGGATAAGAAGTACATTAAGGCAATTGCAAAACTGACTCTACCCAGCAGCTCAAGTGGGCGGCTGAGCAGGAGAGTGCAAAACAAAATAGACAACACACAAACAGTTTGGGCATTGCCAAAGTACAGAAGTGTGCACCATGGCTTTGCACATCTGTCACTGGTGGCTGCTACCTGGCTGCAGAAACAATTGCCTGGCAGCTCCATGCCTTCCATTAACCCCTTCAGGCCATGAAATGTATCACATTGAATTAACAACATCTAGATTTTTTCTGTTTTAATTTTATTAATCCATACTTCTTCCTATCCTTAGCTGACTGCTGGAAAGCCTGAGCCAAATCATCCTGTTCCCATGCCAGAGCATTATCAACAGCAGAAAAAGGAAACCTTCTTTAATTGTTGTGGAATTGTACTTACTAGAGCATCCTGATGGAATCATAGTTTTAACCGTTTTATAAGAAGTACAAATATTTATCATGGTTTTGTTTTTTAAAATAGATGGAAGTTCCATTGCAGTAATTTTCCCTTTGCAAGGCTGCCATTCTCCCCCTTTGTATGATGGCCTCAATGGCAGGAGAGTTCTCAAGGGAGAGATAAAGTAAAACACACTGTTCAGATGGGCCTCCAGTCAAGAGTGCATGGTGAGACAGCTTTACCAGCAAGCTGCTTCCTAGCTGAAGTTGCTACAGACACGTTACAACCAACACACTGCCTTGTAATGAACTTCCTTGCTCTGCTTCCCCAGCCTCAGAAATCTGTGGTGGCTGTGAGCTGAGAAGAGTCTTCTGCATTCACATGGTACATGTAAACAAACCAAAGTGTTTCTGAAAACACCGATTGCCCTGGCTGCTGCTGAAAATTCTTATCTTAGGAAAAGCAAATTGCAAACAAAACAGACCATGGCTGTTCACAAACACTAAGCAAGTACTTCCAGAAAGTTTACCATTCAAGTCTGCAGGAGCTGGTCAATGCCATAAAAATGATCTGAAGTGCCCAGAAGTCCTTTGTAAATACAAGCTTTCTAAGTGTTTTTTGAGCCACTGGAAATCAGTATATCTCACATCCACACAGATTTAGCATGGTGAATAGCAAAGTCAAGAACAACTAAAACAAAATCCTAAAATGACAGACTTGTTTAGATAAAGAATTATCCTCAGCTCTATCTGATGTCTGAATTCTCTGCAGCAGCCCCGTGCCTCACAGCCCGCCCAGGGACAGTAGGGGTGGCTGTCCGGGTTTACTTTGATTCACTCTGCAGTTCAGTGGCTGGGCAGGGAACCAGGAATCCCAGAACTCAGCCAAAACTTGTTTTTATTTGCCGTGGTGATGAACATCTATATCCCTGCCCAGCACCAGTGGCCCCAGCTCAGTACCTCCCTCCCAGCTGTTGGCCGAGTCTCCCTTTCTCTCCACTATCGTCTCACCCCTTTTCTTCACAGACCAGTTCCTGCATATCTCCACCTCCCTGCCCTCCCATTTAATTTTGGGACTGGGGGAGCACCTGACACCGCTGTTCCTTGACACAGCATGGACCAGGGTCATCCTCTGGAATTGGGACATGGCACCCACAGTACAGAGTGGGGCTGAGGAAAAAGGAGAGAGATTCAGCTGTGCTCCTGGAGGTAGCCCTGCGGCCTCTCCTGGGGCTGGGGAGATGTGTCAGCTGGTTCAGCTCTGGGCTTCAGCCATAACCCTGGACAAACCCATGGGACCCTTGTCCCCAGGCCCAGCTTTGTCCCCCCAGAACTCTGTGCTGCCTGGCAGCTGCTTGCAGGGCTCTGGCTCAGGGCAGGGCT